GAAATGAAATTGTTCCTCATCTCAGTAGTTAAGAGTCTATGATATAATCGAACTTTCTAAAGATAAGAATCTTTATTTTTTCAAGTAAATTATTTTCAATCAATCGTAGGAGAAAAGAGTTCAATTTAAATAAAGTTCATCATCAAATGAATTTGAATTGACTTTTCTTTTTTTAATTTTTGATGATGTTTGTTGAACAACAAGTTGATGTCGTGTTAACATTCGATTGATTTTTTTGTGTAGATTCATCTGAGGAATCAAATTGATTCGATCTTAACATAGAGGTTTAGAATTTCTTTAATCAAATGAACTTTCTTTTCCTTTGTTGAACCATTGAAATCATTATTTGATCTTTTTCTATTGGGAGAAATCTTCTAACTAAGGAAATGAAAATCAAATAGAAAATTGAATGGAAGTGATTCGAACTTGTTTTTTGTTTTGGATGATGATGATTAGGAGGTGTAGAACTTTTTGTTCTTGAAGCAACTCTTCGTTTCACATTACCAATGAAATGAAATGACATAATCTTACTCAGATGTTGTTAAAACATTTCCTGTTTAACATGTCATTCTTTGAAACATATTCTAAAAGATTTAACTGAAAGAAAAATCTTTAAAACCAATCCCTCTCTTCATGATAATCTGATTGATTAACTCTTCTTTGTGTATAGAGTGGTTCTTTAGTATTTGTTGTTTTTGATGACGCATTTGTTGATGAAGATGAGAGACGACGAATTGAACGACGTTTCAAATTTGAATTCGATTCTTCACTTTCACTTGTGGATGATAAAGATAAATTTGATTCATCCGATGAAGATGAAGATGAGGATAACGATGACGATTCATCAACCACTATTGATCTACAAAATATTCAATATTTACATGTTTATTTTTATATTTAAATCGAACTAACACTTGGCGAAAACTACGTTTTTCACAATTTCTTGATGTACTTCTTTGGGATCGTCAAGGGGGAAACAGCGGACTTGAAGTAGAAAAGTACGACAAAGTACTTTACTTCAAGTAGACTTGAAGTAGGCTTAAAGTAGCTTAAAGTAACTTAAAGTAAATTTGAAGTTGGAAAGTACTTCAAAGTACTCTACTTGAAGTAAGCTTAAAGTAGCTTAAAGTAACTCAAAGTAACTCAAAGTAGCGCAAAGTACTTGAAGTACAAAAGTCCGCTGTTTCCCCCTTAAATTAATGTTATATATTCAGTTTTTCATACTGATAATGAAAATACTTAGGGCAATCCAAAAGTAGTGGCCCCATTTTCTTATTTCTCTATAAAAACCTGGAAGAAGTTTTCTCTCTTGATGTAATGATAGAGAAAATTATGCTCTATTTTTCTATGCTATTTGATCAGTATTGAACTAATATCATAATAGTAAAATTTCAATAGGAACTTTTTTGGTGTAAAACTTCACTAACGAGTTAGGTATATTAAATGTTGCAATCACTTAATAGATTGTATTAAAAGACAAAGTATACCACAAGATGCAGCGTGAGAAGCTCTACAATTTGCAGAAGACCAATTATTTTAAAGTTGCACTTTTTTGTTTTCAAAATGAACAAAATTTGGAGCGACCAATTTTTGACCATGCGGAAATGATATTTTTTGGTACAAGATGAATTCATTTTTTCTTATTGCATCTTTTTGTCGCCTAATATGTTTTGTTTAAGAAAAATAAAATACATCACAAGATGCAGCGTGAAAAGCCCTACAATCTACAAAGTAAAGTTTATTTTAATTGTGTATTTCCTGTTTTCAAAAAACACCAAAATTCTGTGCGACCAGTTTTCGCTGACCCGAAAAAATAGTGTTTTTCTTATTTCATATATAAAATAAATTGTTCTTTTGTAAATTGTAGAGCTTTTCACGCTGCATCTTGTGGTATATTTTATTTTTTAAAACAACGTATTAAGTGATTGAAAATTGAAATGCAAAGCATATTAATCTGCCTCACCCGTTAGTGAAGTTTTACACCAAAATAGTTCTTATTGAAAGTTTATTATTATGATATTAGTTAAATACTGATCAAATAGCATAGAAAAATAGAGCATCGTTTTCTCTATCATTACATCAAGACAGAAAACTTCTTAGAGCTTTCTATAGAGAAACAAGAAAATGGGACCCACTACTTTTGGATTGCCCTAAGTAAAAATTCATTTAATATAAAAAGACAAATAACTATTGAATAAAAATATCATTGAAATAAAATATATGATATTAAACATATATATATTGCAATTATAATACAGATAAAAAAAACGAGATAAATATGAATGATAATGTCAAATTAATAGGCGATTTATATATCTGTTACATAAAATGCTAGAAGAATTTTGACAATAATTAAAGAAATATCAAGTGAACCAAAAGTTTCATTTGGAAGACTATATCTGAAAATAAAAATAAAATCAATTAAAGAATTATTCTTCATCTATTTAAAATAAAATTTGTCATTGAATATTTTGTTGCTTAACTAATAGGACTAATAAGAAGTAAAATTACTAATTGTGGAAGATTTTTTTTCTAAATAATTAAAATATTAATTAAGAAGTTTGACTTAAATTTCAATGATTATTTTCTTGGTTTTCTTTTTTAAATAAAGCTATATTGACTGAAATTAATATAAAAGTAATAGCCCAAAATCGTATGAATTTATCTAATGTAAATAATCCATATGATTTTGTTTTTTTGATAATAAAAATGGTTTTCGAATAAATCGATTAGTAAAATTTGCTGATTGAAATAAATCAATAAAACGTTTAATTGTTTGACATGCTGAAGTCTATTGAAGATTATCAGTAATTAAAAGTATTAACGTCCAACCATCTACAATATATATCTTGACTTACAAGAAGAAAATAAA